GGGAGAGCGAGGGAAGGACAGGCTGTCCGGCCGGGCGGAATGGGCGTGTGACAAGAGGAGGGGGCACCGGAGGCCTCATCGGCCTCACGGAGCATATGGGACCGAAGTCCAGGCCGAGTCAGGGAAGAGGCCAGGAAGGCCTGAAGACACGCGACACAGAGGTGAGCGTCTCACACCCGTACGCGACTTCTAACGGCAGGTCAGGACAGAGTTACACGGCTGAAACAGGGCTGGTGGCCACAGGCTGTGGCAGCCCCCCGCCCCCAACTCTGCTTCACTTCACTCCTGCCACATGCTGACCTCCCGGGAGGGACACGATCACCAGGCCACACTCCTCTAATAAAAAATTGTATTTGTATATGATGTTTTGTTTTTCAGTTGGCTTCACGCCCAGCGTGGGGGCCCAGTGGGGGGCTTGAACTCATGACCCCAAGATCAAGACCTGAGCTGAGATCAGGAGCTGGACACTTAACCGACTGAGTCACCTAGGTGTCCCTGTAGATAATGTTTTTAAGGGAAAGTGAGTTGATCATGAGTTTCTCACTATAGTCGAGAGGCAAGGACTCAAGCAGGTTGAAACCGTCCAGATACAGGGCAAGTGCCCTGAAGAAAACTGTCTGCCCCAGGAGCCGGCCTGATGCAGGACTGACTGTCGTTACCCCTAAGGCCTTAAGGAACCCGTCTGTAGTGTGCATGCAGGCAGCCTGGACCCGGGCACACCAGGGAGGGGAGAGATCCCGCTGGAAACGTGGGCAGCAGTTTGCATCGCCCTACACGCCCCTACACAGAAGCCAGCCAAGGGTTAGATGCCGCAGTGATGGGCCCGGGGCCAGGCCTCAGCCTGGAAGTGACTTACTGGCTTGCTCCTGATAACCCTTCACGTTGGCTGCAGCCACACCAGCTTGGACCTCCTCCTTTTCCAGAAGATCCACCAGGCCCAACTCCTGGGGAGGGGAAGAGGTGACGTAGGAGAGAGCTCTCACAGGAGCTGCCCTCACGGGCTCACAGGCCCACCCACCCCCACCTCCCTGCCTCTAAGTCTGGCTCTTTCTTACGCAGCAGGCACTGAACTAACAACACAGGCAGCACGAAGAGAGTGTCATGGAGAAAGCCAATGGCAGCGAGGACGAGATCTCTCGTCACTGAGGCCCCCATTCAGCCATGGGGGAGCACGTCACTGCTCGCCGGCTGCCCCCGGGGACCCCTTGGTCAGTCTGGGCCATTAGGCTTTGGGGTGACGTAACCATTTACACACATAGTCCGCACTTCCTGAATACAAGGAGGGGACGGAGGGGATGCCTAAGGAAGAGGCGGTCCCCATCCCACAGCAGACAGACAGAGCAGGGAGCAGGTAATCAGCTGACCTGTGCCTTCTGTTCTCTGTCTGAGCTCAGCTGTTCCAGGTACCAGGCAGCAAAGTCTCTCCTCACTCCGCGCAGGGCCAGGGCAGGGTCATGAAGGGCCTCGAGCAAGGCCCCAGGGCTCTGTCTCTCCAGGGCATCATCAACAACTTCTAGAGCCCCATGGACTGCAAAGACCAAGACCCCACAATGAACAATGTGCAGAAGCCCAGCCGGTACCACCCCAGACCTGCCCTGTTCTTCCTGCCCAGCACCTTGATCTTGGCAGCCTCCCCTCCTCCCCACCCCAGACCGGGAGGACATCCTGACCCCAACAGGCAGATGCCCACTCCAGCCTGGGCCTCCAAACAGCCCCTCCTGCCCTCGTGTCCGCCCCACCCCATCCATTCCTCGCAGCTCCTTCTCCCAGGACCCCGGGCCAGCTGCCCTTCTAGCAGCAAGAGCTGGAAGGCCTGTCCTTTGCCTCTGCCCTGTCCATGGATCTCCATTCAAACAGAAACCCCCCGGACAGGGTCACTTCTCTGGACGGCGAGAGCCGAAAAGCAGCACACACCCTGCTGTTTGACTTTGGTCTTTCCCTGAGACCAGGGTTGGCCCAAGTGAGGCTACAGGGCCTCTGGCCTGAGAGCTATCCCTGAACCTCCCGATGCGGGGGCTTGCCCTGGGAGCACCCCGAAGCCCTCCTGGCCCAGGTCTCTTACCGTTGACGTGGTTGATGTGCCCCTGGATTTCAGCCTGAGTCAGGTAGCAGTCATATATGTCCCAGCTTTCTCCACCATCCTGCAAGGACCATGCCGAAAGGGAGACCTGGGAAACCAGCTCAGTCCTCTCCTGCTCCCCCCTCCCTGTCTCCAATTCTTTCCTCCCCTGGGCGCCTTCCCAGGCCAAAGGTCAGCCTGGTCAGAAGGAATCTGGGGCTGCCTGGAGGGGGGGGCTCAGTCGGTTGAGCGTCCAACTTCGGCTCAGGTCATGATCTCACGGTTCATGAGTTCGAGCCCCATGTCGGGCTCTGTGCTGACAGCTCAGAGCCTGGAGCCTGCTTCGGATTCGGTGTCTCCCTCTCTCTCTGTCCCTCCCCTGCTTGCACTCTGTCTCTCAAAAATATATAAACATTAAAAAAAGAAGAAGAAGGAGGAATCTGGAGAACCCCTGGGTTCAAGCCCTCGGCATGGACACGGTTAAGTCAAATCTCCTGTCCAGTCTTGGCCAGTTCTACGTCCCCACCTCAGCCCGGCCAGAAGATCCAGTCCCCAGAACCCGTCTCCCGCCTTCTCTCCTGAATCCTCATCCCTGGGTGCCTCCTCTGCTTCTCTACAACAACCAGCAAGCGTTTCTCTCAGCAACTCTGGGGCGTGGAGACAGGATGTGCCGGAGTCCTGTCCGCCGGAGGCCTTCTGGGCCACCCCACTCTGCACGCCTGCACAGCAAAGGCTCCTCCTTACTCGGGTCTGGGCGCTGGCAGTCTTCTCTGCCTTGGCCTGGGCCAGCAGCTCCTGGTAGATGGCTGCCAGACGCTCTCGAAGATTCTCCAGCAGAGCACTGGGATTCCGCAAGGCAGCCAGGGTGTCCTCAACCACCCCTCGCTCCACCGCCTCATTGATGGCAAGGACCGCCGCGTGGACTGGGAGGGGCATGGAGACAAGGTCAGGAGGCCAGAACAAACCCCAGACCGCCGCAGCGCGACCAGCCACAGGCCACCCTGACACCATTCCCTCTTTCCATCCAGAGGGCCGGGCAAACCAGGTCACCTCACAGATGACAGCCAGAATGCATTGGAGGCTTGGAGTCTGCCCTTTCACACGGAGCCCACCCCCCAGCAGGGCAGAGCCACACCCCTACCTGCAGCTTCATCCACCGACAGCTCATTGGCCAGAATGCCCCCGATCTTGCTGAAGGCCGGCAGCTGGAGGCCGTATTTGGCCAGTTCAGAGGCCATGTTGCTAAGTTCCTCGGCTGCAATGACACCACAGGTGCCTTTCCTCAGGGCCAGAGCCCCCAAGACCCTGCCCGCACGAGCGGCTGGGGAAGGAGCTGGGCTCACCTGAGAATTTCACTTTCCCGTAGAGATCATGTATCTGAGGGGCCAGTCCCAGCCGGAAGAGGAAGAGACTGGAAAAGAATGGAAGGCGTTGGGGCCTATTTATTTTGACACGGTCTGCAGGAGATGCCACAGGGGCCTGGACAGGGAGCCCACCACACCTGCTCCCAAGTCCCCCCAGTCCACGGGGAGCGATGTTACTGGAAGTCAGGCCGAGGCAAGCGCTACAGAAGATAAGTACGATGCTCGAGAGGCCAGGGGGCATCGGGACTTCACAGAGAAGGGCACACTGCAGTTACCAGATGGACACAGAGGGTAAGGCAAGCAGAGACCCGCAGAGCCAGGCGGGCTTAAAAGGACGTGGGAAATGAAGTCAGGATGAGACGACACGACAGACGCAGGAACTGGTCGGCCACTTTAAGCTCTAGCCAGCTGGATGCTGATGGCCGGTTCTGAGAAGAACCAAACAGCCTGAACATTCCCACTAGGTGAGCTGCATGTGACGCTCTTGACGGCTCGTTTTGATTCCTTTGGGCCCCAGGCACAAACTGAAGACCCTTCCCTCCTGCCCTTTTCCTTCGCCCCTGCAGGTCACACACAAACGTGCGCATAAATCTACGCACAACTGCAAAACTCTGAAGTCTCACTCTCCTGAGAAGCGCCTGCCTTCCTTCCTGCTGCCATGTTTCCTGTATCCACCTGGAGGGCGGAAGTCTGGGGCCTCTCACCTGAGGGCATGGATGCAGTAGACCACCCGGGGCATGTTCTTCTTGTCATAGATGTCTGTGGTCTCCGGGAAGAAGGTCTGGAGGGGAAAGCAGCTGGTTACTGCCGCTGGAAACGTGAAGCAGCACCAGCTATGGAGAGAGGGGCTGAGGCATGGGTCTTCCTCTCTGACCCGGGGAGATACTCCTTTGTTGCCTGGGGCTTCGAAGTCAGCCTCCCCAACCTCCGACAGCCAGCAC